AGAAGCTCTAATAACGCCGTTGCCTCTACCTTGAAAATGTAACGTGCAGGTAAAAATTCTTAATGGTTGGTGAATGTGTAAATAAAAAGTTCTAGGCTTAATTATTGTAATACACTTAGGGGTCGTTTGGATTTTGTTATGCTTTTACCATGTCCACACTGCTAAGTGAGCTTGTGTCTTTTTAGAAAGATATTTCCCCGTTTGAGGGGAGATTGAGTTTCATTAGCAAATTGAGTGAGCCGAGATGCAGACTGGGCAATTTCCTATTAGAAAAATGATTCAGAGTAAGCTTTTTAGTCTCGGTGGCTTTGTGAGACATCCAGTGGGTGACTCGTAAACCTAAACCAAAGAAGTGTTACTGCCAAGACTCAGGAAACTTTTTGTCTCCACTAATTAACCTGTAATTTTTCATGCAAAGCAATGACTGTAAAAGCTGAAACGTGAACATCAGAATGAATATAGATGGCAGAAAGTTTGTGATTGCATTAATATTATAATTGAATAAAATGTTAGTGGTATGTAGCCGAGGTAGCTATAGGTGGTGTAGTATCAGTAGTTGTCCAAAAATATGTAGCTCCAGGTTATCCAAACAGCTAATGCAGGTACTGTAGAGAGTAGCTCCACATTTTGTCAGGATTTACATCACGTGTATGTCAAAGATATTGGCTGTGTTTTGCCTCGGTTTTATTTCACAGACAATAGCTCTTCGTAGCAGCTTCCCACTACTTAGTGTTATTAATGTCCAGTGGTACATTTCTGGGTTTAAAAGAAATCGGTCCATTTAGGCATAATTGGACCATAAAACACGCTTAGCGTTATGCATTTAAATAACACACTGTTTATAGAAACACCTACATCGATTAAATTCTTCTCGAACTGTAAGAAGCATTATTCTGCCAGTCTCGAGGTGTGGAGAATATAAATCTTCACAGATAAGTCTTCCAGCTGTGTTACTTTCTGACTTCTATCTTGATAGCAGCCTCGCTGCCAAACTTGACATAAGCAGTGGCCAGCACAGTTTAAGAATATCAAGTTGTGTGGACAAGCAGACAGTGTTTTTGAGTGATGGGAGGAGCTGTATATGGTGTTGTTTTGATGTTGGGTTTTTGCTGTGGGTTTTGTTTTTTCTGTTTGAGTAGTGGTAGGCTACAGGGCTCCTGTGCAGTGCGTTAGCAATTGAGATGGTGGTTCTGTGCAGACTGAAGCAGGAAAAAATGCCCGAGTTCTAAGTTGGATGTTTGTCCAGCTTTGGTTGTCCTGAATA